ATGTCAGTAGTTGGTTATTTTTTATCATACCTGCCTATATAGGGAGAAGATAGAGCATATATCATCATGCTATAACAATCAAGAAAATAGGTTAACATTGTCTTTGAAGTTATGCTCTATCCATATTTCTACATTTGATACTTATTTTATAAAACACAAAATTATGCAGAAGTTTCTTTTCTCCTAAATTTAACTTTCTACATGTTCAGATACAAACAATCTCACATTCAGTAGCCAAAATGCATCTTTTCTATCAGCCACCAAATAATGGCATGGATTTGTTTGAGACAAGATAACATGGACCTTTGCATGAATTTTTACAATCTATTTATAAAAAGAGGTACTTCTGTATAAGAATTTCTCCTAAAGAACTCTTTTCAAATTATTGCTGTCTTTAAAATGTGTGCTTTAAGACATTTTACTGAATTAGGAATGGCTAATGCTCCTATTTGGATACACATTATTTCCCAAAGGAACAAATCTCTAAATTCTAAAGATATAGCAATGAATAAAACAAAAAGAAAAATAACTGCCTTCAAGCTCACAACATGGAAGAAAATTGTATCCCATATAATAAAAGCCTAGGTGTCACGATGTCCTTGTGTGACATCATCACAAGATTGCAGCCATAAGATGGCCAGCAGGGCAAGGCAGTAGAGGGGGGATCAGGCCAGCAGGGGAGAGCAGTTGGGGGCGATCAGGCCTGCAGGGGAGCAGTTAGACATCAATCAGGCTGGCAGGGGAGCTGTTAGGAGATGATCAGGCTGGCAGGCAGGAGCAGTTAGGGGCAATCAGGCAGGCAGGCAGGTGAGCAGTTAGGAGACAGCAGTTCCGATTGTGAGAGGGATGTCTGACTGCTGGTTTAGGCCCAATCCCTGTGGGTCCCAAAGGATCCCAGATTGGAGTGGGTGCGTGCACTGGGCCTCTAGTTTTTAATTGTAAAAAAATGGTTAGGTTAATAAACAGGTAGGAGAGGGGACAGGACTTGTTTGGGGAAGGCAATGACATTTTAGATTGGACTGGAAAGGACACATTGAGAAATTGATCTTGATTAGTGACTTGATTGAAATGGAGTGAACCCTGGAGTTATCCAAGAGGATGGCAAGTGCACAGGTCCTGAGAGAGATAAATGCTGGGTATTCTTGAGAACTGAAGAGGGAGAGTAGTAGGAGATGAGTTTAGATTAACATTTGTGTACCTGGGGATGAAATTCATATCATACTAAGGACCTTGGTTTTTGCTTCAAATCAGATTGGAAATCATTGGATGGGTTAAGAAGGGAAGTGGTGCAATTTGACTCAGGGTCTTAACTGGATTGATCACTAGCTATTGTTTTGAAAATACTCTGAAAGTGCACAAGGGTAGAAGCAGGGTGGGCAGTTAGGAAGATTTCATGATAATCTAGGTAAGAGATGGTGCATGGATCAGAGTGGTTTTTGTGGAGGTGGAAAAGAGTGGTTAGATTTGGGCATATTATAGATAGAGGTGACAGGATTTGCTGATAGAATTTTATTATATATTCAACTTATGAGCTAAGTATTTAATTCATAAGTAAAGGATTTGAATCTAACTTCTTTATAATAGGAAAGATACTATTTTAAGATAATTAAAATATTTGATGATGAATAAATAGAACTTTTTAATATATATTTAAACTATATTACTAAGATAATACAAACTCAATTCCAGTGTTTATTAAGTTTTTTTTATTGTCAAATATCTAGTAAAAAGTTTAATATCTTACATCTTCTAACATTTGTTGTTAAAATATATTCTGACATTTATTTGCTGATACAGAGCAGTCTATTAATTAACAAAGATTTGAAATACAGTAAAATATTTTTTTCAGAGCAGATTGTATACATTTAAATGGAAGAAAATTGGGAGCCACTTTTATTCATTGTAATGTTTAATTGTGTGAAGAGCTGATATTTTTTTCTGAGCTGTATCAGTAGAGGGCAGTAAAGTTTCAAGTAGTGTGTTTTTAGGTTCCTAGGAAGCTTTGATACGGAAAATTTCTTTTTTTTCGGTGTGTGTATGTGTGTTTTCTCTTAAGAAGTTTGTTCTGGCTTTCCTTTTAATGAAATGCTACAGTAATATCTTATAGAAATTCGCTTAAAAACCCTGTAGCTTTGGTTCAGATGTTTAGCTAACTGTTCCCTTACGTGCTATAAATGCTTTCTTAATGAGAACATGTATTTTTTTTTTCTTTTTATAATGATTAAGGGAGTACCAGGGCCTGGAAGATATGACATTAAAAGTCAATTTGAGAAGACTAAAAGTGTGACACCAAATGTAAATGATGCATCACATGCTTTTCTTTCTCAATCTCAGGTAATGGTCTATAGTCATTTTCATAAGTTGAGTATAATAGGCATAATGTGAAGTCAGCAACAAATCCAATGATGTTCAGGGAGATTATAAAAAGGGAAGGGATATTTAAGCAAATTGGAAACACACAAGGCCTGAGCAAATCATATTACCAAAAGATGTGGGTAAAATGAAATGAAATAACATGATAACATTAGCAATAATATGCAAAGATGAATATTTGAATTGAAACCATCTATTAAACATTTTCTATTATGCAAATCTGCATATGTGATCATTCAGTTTGGCTTGTAAGAGTTTTTAGTCTGAGTTTTTAAATGTACTTTGCCAATGAGGGCAGGCAGTGCTAACGTGTAATCTGTGAGGACATGCATTTCTTTCAGAGAAGGTTCTGAAGGCTCTCTCTGGAGCCAGGCCATAGGTCATATCACCAACTGTCACTGCTGCCTTTGTTAATGATGCTGCAGTCTATTTCACAGTAATCAGCTCACATTCTGCAAGGTATATACTGAAGAGACTTGAAGATATTAAGATATTTCTAAGGCAAGAACATTACAATACTAGCAAATCTTTATAATGCAGAAGCTTGTAGATCAATGTAGTTGCAGCATTTAACCAACTGTACTATGTACAGCTGATTATCTTATTTAACTTGGGAACATTATTAACCTTCAGATTACTGTAGGTGACTGCTTTGATTTCATTGTATTTAAGAGGCACCTCCTAGTAGATAAGTAGAGAGATTGCAGGTATATTTTAGAGATATGATTAACATTTTAATTTATTTTATTTAAAGAAAATCTTTATTTTTGAAGGCATTACATATGTAACCCTTATTCCGCCCCCCCCCCCCAGCCCATCTCTGCCCCCTCATCCCAGGCCTTCACCACCCTATTGTCTATGTCCATGGATTATGCATTCAAGTTCTTTGATGATCTTTATCCACCTCTGTCTTTCCTCTGAGATTCAGCAGTCTGTTCCATTCTTCTATGTCTCTGAATTTGTATTTTAATGGGTTAGATGCTGTGGTGAAGAATCAAGGACAGATACCAGGTTTCTACCTTAGGCAACTTGATGGTACTTAAGGTAACTACATAAAATGAATGTGTGGGAATAGGACATTATGCATGTATATACCTTTGATTAAAAAACACACATGTATTTTTAAAAATTAATTTCAGAGAGAAAGGGAGAGGGAAATAGAAACATCAATGATGTGAAAGAACTGTTGATCGGTTGCCTCCTGCATGCCCCATACTGGGGATCAAGCCTACAATCTGGGCATGTGCCCAGACCAGGAATCCAACCCTGACCTGGTTTATGGATTGATGCTCAGCTACTGAGCCACACTGGCCAGGCCCATTGTATTTCATTGTATACTCTAAACCACATTGAAGGTGGGAAAAAAGAAAGAATATCCAGGTAACCATAGTATTTGACTACATCAGTCTTGGCTAGTGTGAAATGGGTATATAACTTTTCACCAAATGGTTATATATATATATATATATATATATATATATATATATATATATATATTTGTGTGTGAGAGAGATAAAGAGGGAAGAAATGGACAAACAAACATAGAGAAGGAGATAGAAACAGAGATGTTACTGGGCAGATAGTGAGACTTGTGTTCTTATCTTCTTGGAGGAAAGATTTCAATTAAGAGACCAAGTGTAGAAAAACAAGCAAGAATATATTGGCTGCAGCAGAAATATACTTATGAGAGTGAAATAAGGAAGAGCACAGAAGAAGCAACAGGAGAGCCTAGGCTGGGCTTCTTTGGCTCACTGGGAAGTCACGGAAAAGGGGTCCTTGGAGACTCAGGGGGTTAGCCCAGGAAGAGCCGTTGCCACTCATTGCTCCTCTGATTGCAAGTCTAATGGGATCTCGTAGTGGTTAGGGGAAGAAGAGCAGAATGGCACTGGTATACTCTCTGGAGGAAAAGTGCCCTGAGACTTAGTTTTCAGGGGTTTTAAAGGCTTGGCATTTAGGGGAGGTCTTAGGAGAGACTCAACAGAATATTTATCGGCTTTATGCTGATATACCAAAATGAGGTTTAGTCTCTTAATTTCTCTGTTCTTGGGTGTGGTTGGCAAATGGCACTAATTAGATTTCTGTATGTCTCTCTGAATATGGCGATTAAGCTATTTACCCTCTGATTAGGGAGAAGAAGTGCAAGCCATTTACTCTTAAGTGTCCCTGGTTTAGGGAAGCAAGGATTTACTAGGTGGCTGCAAACTGCTGTTTTACTATCTATCTTAGTTTTCTTATTCTGCTTGTCTGGATTTTTCCTATCTTCTTACTGTTCTATAACATTACAGAGATAGTAGGTAAACAAAAAATAGCAAATGGAATGGTATGCTAATAGATGAATCTGGGTCAAACTATCTAGAATCTCATATTGAGCTGATTTCCTTTAAAAAGTCTACCTGGCATAGTAAAGTACATAATGCATCGCCATATTAATATATAGATGACTTTATTAAAAGCCATATGTTTTATGTTTAATAGGTACCAGATCTTAATTCATCTACATTTTCTTCACTCCATTAGGAAACAAATTAAGCTCTAGATATTAAATTATTGAGAAGGAAGCATTTAACTCACAAAGTATCAAAAGGTACTGTAGTTTCTCATTGGCATATTTTCCCATTCTTCACTAGAGATTTGTACCCATGAAATCAACTACCTCTGCTCCTGGCACATATAATGAAATTCAAACTACTTTCAAGCCCTTGAAAAAAATATCATATTCGAAAAAAATCCCATTTGGTCAAAGTGCTACTCGATTTCCACAGGACTCCAACACAGAGGAAATACCAGGTTAGCAATTAGTCCATGTATTAAAACTGTTCAGCTTTATGTAACTTAATATTCTTAACAAGATGGATGCTTTTTAAAACATTAAATATACACAAGAACAGATAGATAAAAATAACATAATTTTTCATTTCAACATGTCACACATTTTATTTGTAATTTTCTATTATTTTCCTTTATATGGTGAATTTCCTAGTTTTCTCTTGGTGGATATATATAACATCAGCTATGTGGTCACTGTCAGTAATATAACTTAGATTACTCAGTTTTGTTAAAATTCTATTTTGGGGATATCCAATCACATATTCTAGTATTTGTTGTGGGTATTCTAGTATACAGAGCTAAGATTATAACACCAAAATAACATATAGTGGTGAACATATAGTCATCTGTTGCTGCATAACAAACTTAGTGGCTTAATATAAAAAGACTGTTTTATTATATCTATGTCCTGTGAGATAGTTGGACAGAACTCATATGGTACTTACTCAGAGTGGGTGCATAGCTCCAGCACTGCTGCCCCAAGTAGTTGGTCCTTTAACATGGTAGCTCAGGGCACCACTGACCTTGCAGGATTCGGCAAGGCCTCCTATAACATACCCTCAGAAGCCCCAGGACACCACTTCTGTCACATTCTGTAAGTCAACTAAGTCACTTAGGGCAGTACATACTGAACAGAAGGATATGAAGCTTCATCTCTTAATGACAAGAGTTAGCAAAGAATTTTTGGCCATCTTTAACCCATTTCAGACTACCTTCTGGCCACAAAATATTTATATTTTTCCCACATGCATTTTCAAGGCCACCAAAGTCTCATGAATTATGGTATAATCTTGAAATCCAGGATCTTGTTATTTGAGTCAGATATGGTACAAATGAGGATTCTTGGGCATGGTATTCAGATCAGCTTCTTGGACTCCTCTCTATCAGAAGAGCTGTGAACTAAAGGTGCAAGTTAGGAGCTCCTCTCATTCAACACAAGTGGTGGGAGGGAAATAGGATAATCATAATTGACACTCCTATTCAAAAAGGAGGGGAAATTGGAGGCACACAGCAGTCATAGGCTTATAGCAGTTAGAAATCCAACCAGGGGTAAGTTGCCATTTCCTCGATTAGATAGATCCCAGTGGGTTCTCAAAATTATTTTCCATAGTCTTTTGTTCTACTTCTTGGTTTCATCCTTTGAATCATCCTTTCTTTCTATAAGAAATAGGTAATGTTTGCATCTGGGGCTTTCTTAGCCTGCTTCCTGCACATATTTGCCTTTTTTTCTGAACGTTACCAGTGGAGAAATTTGGATGATGGCAGGAATGAAACATATTAGCATTTAGATTTTCTGAGAGTTGGCACAACAAATTTTGGTAGATTTTTGGGGACTAGACTTTAGAATTGAAATATTTAAAAGATTGGGAAGAGTTTATGGTCAGTTTCCTTGAGAAAAACATTATATATATTAACAAAAGGATAGTGTATTTGATCATATAAAATGATTTGATCACATTTAATCCAGAAGGAATCTAAAGTACTATCTAGCCATGTGCTACTCAAAGTGTCCCTTTGTCAACTGTTTTCTGCCTACAGTGAGAAAGGAGATGTACCAGAATGTATGTCAACAATTTTCCCATGGAAAAGAATATTTACAAAATGCTTAGTAAAATATTCAGTTTACAATTAGTTGTAAGCTCCTTTTATTGTAGATTACTCTTGAACAGGCAGCAGTCCACAGACCACATTTCGAATAAAGCTGAAGTCAATTCCTATTATCTTGAGATAAGAACTTGAAGCCCAGAAAAACAAAAGAGATTAAGTAATCTCATACCTATTTAGTTACAGAGCCAATTTTGTAGAATCCAGGTAACATGAGTATAATGAAGTCACCTGTTCTTTCAAGTGTATCATATTTTATGCATATTGCTTCTCACTGGAACTGATTTAAAAATAATGAATTATAAAACACATACAAGTACATATTTTTTAAAAAATACATTTTTATTGATTTCAGAGAGGAAGCGAGAGGGAAAGATAGAAACATCAATGATGAGAGAGAACCATTGATTGGCTGCTTCCTTCACGCTCCACACTGGGGATCAAGTCTGCAACCTCAGCATGTACCCTGACCAGGAAATGAACCGTGATCTCCTGGTTCTCGATTGACGCTCAACCACTGACCCACACCAGGTGGGCTACAAATAAGTATTTTTTTATCTGTGGTTGAGAATACACATATGTGGAAGACTGACTTAAACACAGATTTTCATCTGCGTGGGTTTCAGTGTCCTTAACCCCTGCATTGGATCAACTGTATTTGTTTCAAATATTTGAATGTTTTGATAAAAACTTTTTCAGTGACATGAAAATTGTTTGTATTATTTGAATTAAAAAAGAGAAATTTTATTCTCTTAGATTACCACTGAATAAAAAATTCCTGGTTATAAATATGCTCTAGAAGCTAAAAGGCAAGGCATTAAAATAGTTGCTGTGATAGGAAGATTAGATGATAGGTAATTTATTTTTCCAAATTGATTTTAATGTTGCTACATCAACTTTTGTAAGAACCTAAACTGCAACAAGCCTACTTTTCAGTACTTTTTGCCATCAAGAACGTCTTTCTTTCTTCCTTTCTTCTTTGAGGAGTTACAATTTACATAATAAAATAACTCATTTTAAGTGTACAATTTGATGAATTTTGGTAAATGTATATAGTCAAGTAACTACTACTGCAATCAAGGTTTGAAACATATCCATAATTCAAGTTCTCTCAATACCCCTTTGCAGTTAATCTCCATTCCCGCTTCTGGCCCCCAGGCAATCGTTTTGGTCATTATGATTTTGCATTTTTTTGGAATTTTATATAAATAGAATCATCTAAAATTGAAGATTTACATCTGTCTTCTTTCACTTAGTATGATTTTTTGGAGGCTCATTTGTGTTCATGCATTTATCTTCCCTTTTTATTGCTGAATAGTTTTCCATTGTTTGGGTATAGCATGTTTTGTTTATTATTTATTCACTAGCTGATGGACATTTGGGTAGCTTTTATTTTTATTGAGAATGAACCTAGGAGTAGAATTTCTGGGTCATATGGAATGTATATATTTAACTTCTTAAGAATCTGACAGATTTTTTTTCAAAGTGGCATATCATTTTGCATTCTGCTAGCAATATAAGAGAATTCTCTCTAAAAATTAAAAGCATGTTTATTCTTATATATTATATTTTTCACAATCTTAGGTCCTGGGTCTTATAATATTCTAAATGATACTGTCATTGACAACTCTAGCAAAACATGCTTAAAGAAACAGAGCAAAAGTGCATTTGGGTCTTCTGCTCCTCGAACATTCTTCTGGGATCAGAAAAAAGCTTTTACTACTCCTGGACCTGCTGCTTATCAGGTAACACATGAATGCCAAAATAAAATTTCTTATATCTAATTAATACCAATAATTTAGGGTTAAAAATTACATGTGATATAAGTGAGTCATCATTATAAGTCATATGATTATTGAAATTATTATACAGTGAATTATGATATAAGAATAATAGTTCATTTTCCCTAACCAGTTTGGCTCAGTGCAGAGCATTGGCCCAAGGAGTGAAGGGTCCCAAGTTTGATTCTGGTCATGAGCACATATTTTGCTCCATCCTCAGTTGCATGTGCAGAAGGCAACCAATCAATGTGTCTCTTTCACATCGATCAATGTTTCTCTCTGTGTGTCTCTCCCCCTCTCTTTCACTCTCTCTAAAAATCAATGTAACAATATCTTCGGGTAAGGGAGAACCCAAGATGGAGGTGTAGGTAAACACACCTAAACTGCTGCTATGCACAAAAATTTCAGAACTACAACTAAAAGACAAAACATTTATTACCCAGAGCCATGGGTGGGCTGTCTGAGTGGAAATTGTACAACCAGACAGAAAGAGAGGAGAGCATTCAGTGCACAAACACTAAAAAACTGAGGTACGGGGGTGTGTTATACAGGCTGGCGGCAGATTCAAACTGGCGGCGGACCCCGGCTTGTGGCAGGCGTTGCTGTCTTCAACCCAAAGGGGAGACACACGAGACCCAAATTCCTACCGCCAGAAGCTGGACTGTCTGCCATCAGGTCTGAAAGTGAGGGTGGCTTGCTTGCAGAGATGTGCACAGGATAATTGTTTGCTGTGCTAGGGTGCGAGATGCGGTGGGATACGGTGGAGAGGCAGAGATGGCTCACTGCCAGCCATCTCTGTTTGCCACCCCCTAGCCTAGTGATGCCCTGAGACTCTGCCCCGCACAATCTACAAACACACCCAAACTCCAAGCAGTGGCTTTTGCATAAGAATGGCCTTCACTATCACTGCTAACTTGCAAACCTGTTCAGTCAGCTCCATAATCTACAAATCCCAAGCAAGGAGGAGAGGACTGTAGTTCTTGCTGTAGCTCCTGCAGAGCTAACTCAGACAGTAGCTGACCTGCACCCCATTGGAGATCCAGAGGCCAGTGTACCTACTGGTCAGTGTGAGACACCAGATTTCAGCCTCTCACATCCATAAGTGACACATTCAAGAGTCAGACTCAGTGAACACCAAAGCCCAACTGAAACAAGTCCTGCACCATGAGAGTGTCTCTAGCATAGCAGTTCTTCCATTATAAAACAGTGGGTCCCCACAGCCAATTGGCCTGGAGGACAATTCCTTCTAGGGTACCAACATCAATCAAGGCTTAACTACTCCAAACTTTGTACTCAGACCACAAAAGAGTGTACCAAGACTGTCCACCTCGGGTGATTGGGGAGGCTGAACTACTGGCCCCTGTGGGTCACTTACCACACAAAGCCGCTCTATCAACATAGGGAAGCAGTCAAAATGCAGAGACACAGAGGCATGTCGCAAAAGGGGGCAATGGAGGAAAACAAACTATAGGATGACATGGAGTTCAGAACCATATTTATAAGGTTATTCAAGAATCTTCTAAAAACTGCTGAGAAACTTGATGAGACCTTCAAGGACCTTAATGAGAATGCCCCCCCCCCCCCCACAAAAAAAAGGAAAAGGACCAGTCAGAAATTAAGAATACAATGTCTAAAATAAAGAATTTACAGAAACTCAACTGTAGTTTAACATACCCCAAGAATCAAACCAAAGATCTTAAATATGAGGAAACAAAAAAACACCAAACAAGAAAAACAAAAAGAAAAAAGGATCCAAAAATATGAAGATAATGTAAGGAGCTTCTGGGACAACTTTAAGTGGACCAACATCCGAAAATTTGGGGTGTCAGAAGAAGAGAGAGAGCAAAATATTAAAAACCTATTAGAAGAAATAATGACAGAAAACTTTCCCCACCTGGTGAAAGAAATAGACTTACAAGTTCAGGAAATATACAGAACCCCAAACAAGAGGAATCCAAAGAGGACCACAGTAACACACATCATAATTAAAATGCCAAGGGCAAAATACAAAGAGAATCTTACAAACAGCAAGAGAAAAACAGTTAGTTACCTACAAGAGAGCACCTATACGAATGTCAGCTGATTTCTCAACAGAAACTATGCAGGCCAGAAGGGAGTGACAAGAAATATTCAAAGTGATGAACACCAAGAACCTACAACCAAGATTGCTCCACCAAGCAAAGCTATCATTCAGAATTGAAGCTAAGACAAAGAGCTTCACAGACAAGAAAAAGCTAAAGTAGTTCATCACTACCAAACCAGAATTATATTAAATGCTAAAGAATAGTGTCGACGAAGAAGAAGAAGAAAAAAAGTAAAGATAAAAATTATGAACAACAAAAGACATCAAATACATACCTACCAACAAGTGAATCTAAAAATCAAGTGAATAAAAAATCTGAAGAACAGAATGGACTAATGAATATAATGGAATCAGGGACATAGAAATGGAGTGGACTGACAATTCTCAGGGGTTCTGAGGGATGTGGGAAGAGATTGGACAAAAGTCTTACACCTATGGATGAAGACAGTAGTGGGGGGTAAGGACATGGGGTGGGGTGAGGAATCAGGTGGAGGGGAGCTATAGGGGGGGAAAAAAGAGGAACACCTGTAATAATCTGAATAATAAATATTTATTTAAAAAATATCTTCAGGTGAAAAAGAATATTTGTTAATTTGGTTCACAGCTATGTTTGTAAATTTTTAAAAACAATTTATCTTATTCTGTAACTCTTTGAGGTATATATATTTCTTTAAATGCTTATCTTTATTTTGAGATTATTCTATCTGATTCTTACATTTTATATCAACCATTGTTTTGTATCTTATGAGGGGATTAAAAGAGAGAAAATAATGTTGAAAGTGATATGAAGATGATTAATCAAAACCTTAATGCATTACTTAAGTGTTTGATGCCAACATGACTGCATATGCAACCCTGCATGTGGTATAATGATGGCATTAATATCATTGAAACCTCTTTGTAATAAATTTCTGACTAATGAAACATGACATTTAAAAATTGACTTCAAATGTCCAATTATCTTACTTAGATGTATATATTCAAGAAGAGTAAAACTTTGTTTCAGTATATTTAAATGTTTAAGAATTCATATATCTTTTCAAGATTACCTCCACTGATGCAGGTTGCCATGCTAGATTCATTTGCAGAAATATGATCTCCCTGATATGGTTAACACATATTTTGAACATTCAGAATGTTAAATTTTTGAGTATTGTCATCATTATTTTATAAAAGTATAAACAAATGGTCCTTTTGTTGGCATTTTTTAAAGGTTAAACAATAGTTCCTTTGTTTATTATATATATGGGGAGAGACACTTTTCCATCACATAAATTTAAAATTAGTTATTAAATAACATTTATATTAGTGTTATTGCAAGTGCACAGGGAACAAATATGGCAACTCTAACAAGTTCATATAAGTTAAAATGACATTGGTAGAAAAATAGGGAAAAAGAAAAAGAGTAGAAAGAGAGAAGACCAGAGATGTGAGAATAAATATAAAGAGATAATGAGAAGAGATAAAGTGAGATAATGAGAAGAGGTCTCATGTTGAAAAGTTTGAGGAGGTACAGAGTACCCTCTATAAAAAAACTATAGCAGAAGCATGTAGAAAAAATTGCCACTATGGTAAGGAACTGCTGATTCTTCCATGAAGAAGCAATCCAAGGAAGAAATCTATTTTCCTTTTATTATTATTATTATTGTTGTTGTTGTTGTTTAAAGTATTACATATAGTAGTACATATATCTATATATCTCCTTTTTTTTTGTATTCCTCCAGTTTCCCCCACCCCCTGTTGCATGCCTTGCACAAACCCTTGAGCACCTCTCAATTTCTGAGCCCAACAGAGAGCCATTTGTCAAAGCACAAATACAGATTGCAGATTCCCAGGATTGGAATTGGGATAATAGCTTAAAATCTGGTGCATGTCATCCCTTTGATTACTTTGCATCTATTTGCATATTTAAGTTTATAGTTGAACTTCGACATAATATTCTAGACAAATCCATAATTCTGCCTATTACTGTACACTTCACCTGTCCCTTATATAACAAAAGTTTTTTTGTTTTGAAAAATGAGGAGACACAAGTTTCCAACAAAGGTCATCCACATCTCTGGGAAATTTTAGTCATAGTCCATTTAAATATTTTGCTATTTAAATAGTGATATAAATTATTGATTTAGTTTAAAATTTTTACCTAAATATTAAATTATACATTATTAATGTATTATAAAACTTTTAAAAAGTAAAAAAGAGGAGAAGAGGGAAGATCAAAATAGTACACACATAGTCTGGCCAGCGTGGCTCAGTGGTTGAGCGTTGACTTATGAACCACGTCATGGTTTGATTCCTGGTCAGAGCACATGCCTGGATTGCAGGCTTGATCCCCAATGTTGGGCGTGCAGGAGGCAGACTATCAGTGATTCTCTCTCATCATTGATGTTTCTATCTCTCCCTTCCTCTCTGAAGTCAATAAAAATTTATTTAAAGTAAATAAAAGGAGTAGCAGGGCTTTCAGAAATTTAGAGATTCATTATGCTTAGAAGAGTAGTGTTTAATTTCCATGCAATTGGCTTTTTTCCTAATTATTATTGATTTCAGGCTCACTTCCATTACAAAAATAGATTAAACTCAATTATTTCAATTAATTAAAAATGTAAGTTTTTTAATGAATCAGCATGTGATCACTTTTTATGTGTGTATGTGAAGGAATGACCCATCATCACTTTGAGATATCTACAGAATTCTCCTTAATGTATTAAAATATCCTTAACGGGCATAGTATTTTAGATGCTAGCTCTCTCAGTATCGTGAGGTAGAACTCATGAGCAACTGCAGATTTTACTTTATTTGAAACAGCCTGATTATAACTGACAATCATTTTCAAGTGTTTTGAAATCTATTTTTATGAATCAAAATATGATTTTTTTTCCAG